CCTGCTCGGGAAAGACATCTGCAATGATATCTGAGGAGTTTTCTTACAGACAAATTTATATAGACCATACAAGGATGATCTGGGAGTGATGGAACCCAACCTAAGTTGAACATACACTGTTTACTATACAGAAAACCTGAGCTGATTCATATATGAGGCAGACTGCAGACTCCAAATATCTGAGATTAACAATCAATTCTTTCTCATTAGGAACTGGCGAAAACTTTAGTAGCTAGGTATAGCAGAGGAAATTGTCCAAATAGTCTGTAACCTGTTCGAAATATTGCTTTCTGAATCTGGGTTTGTTGCTAGTGAAGCTTCATCTCCCACCCTGCTCTTGAGCAACCTTGTATGTGTTGGAATGGTGCATCTTTGCACGAGGGTTTGTAACACAAATTGCAGACAGTTTTTAGTCTATCTGCAAATACCTCACTTCTGATTAATAAAACTATTCTTTACCCAGGGTATTTTGTTTTTATCCAGTCTATTTTTTTTTTTTTTGAGAACTTTTGTTTCTCTACTAGAGGTTTTGCAAAATGCTTGTTGCCAATTACTCATTGGGCTGAGGATGAGTTCTCTGTTGGTGCTGCTCTTTTGTCTTTGAGATCTGAGCAGTGTAGGCTAATCCCACTTAGGTCTTTCTTTGCTGCTCACACTCTGTTGTTGTCTCGGAATAATTTCCAGATTGGATTTGGGCTGGAAAAATTACCATATCTCTTCAAAAATTCTTAGACTGTGATCCTTCTTGTGTCTTTCAGTCACCCTCTCTGGCCATAGATGCTTGAGAGTCTGCGGTTAACCTCTTTTTCTACGCAGCTTTTCCTGCTTTCTGTGTCCACCTGTTTCTAACCGAGAGGTCCCTAAACCCCCAGGTAGCTAAGAGTCTCTCCTTTGTGGTCCCATAACACTTTATGGATATCTCCTAATGTATTATATTATATTTAACTTGTTTATGTGTTTGTCTCTCCACTAGACTGTAAGTCCCTTGAAGGCAAGTAGGATTTCCTTTTCATTGCTATTCCCCTCAAGTCTAGCATACTGTATGGTACACAGTGGTATCTCAATAAGTGTTTATTGAGCAAAATTCATGTTCATTGGGGTTTTAAGTGGCTCTTGGGGCATTCAGTCATATAATTGATTAAATTTAGAAAAGTAGGGCAACATAAGTACACTGTTAGGAATTGCAGAATGACCAATAATTGTGTCTGTATCTTGAACACTCTTGAGAAAAAAATAACAGTTTTATTATAACATAACTACCAATCAACTAAAACTGTTAATACTGGGAATTGTTATATAAGAAAAGCATTTTTTTCTCCTACTCTTATATTTTGCTTAAATACAGAATGAAGATGTTTGCCACATGATTGGGTTTCCCATAGTGTAGTGTTTTCTGCTGAATCATTTACTCCTTATCAGTGGTGTTCTGCTTTATAGGTAGCTCCACTTATACCAGCCACCTGTTCTTAAATTGCCTTTGTTTCTTTTGTACTTCCTGACTCCTGTTATGAAACAAGAAAGCAATGTTGTTTCTGAGCTTTATTGCTATAGACATTCTATAGGTATCTGTATCTCACTAAGGGTACTTTTCAGACTATTCTTCTGTATTTCCAGACCTCAGTGCCCAGGACAATTCTGGGACCCTGAACATGTGCTCTATATTCAGCATAAAGAAGAATTTGATTGTATGGAAGATCATAGAGTAAAACATAAATTCCTTTTTATCAGCGAATGCTTAATTTCATTAGAGTGAATGTATTAGTTTGCTAGGGCTACCATAACAAAGTACCACAAACTGGGTGGCTTAAAAAAACAGAAATTTATTTCCTCATAGTTCTGAAGGCTACAAGTCCAAGGTCAAGGCATCAGCAGGGTTGTTTTCTTCTGAGGGTGTCTCTTCTCAGTTTAGAACTTCTTCCAGTGTGTTCGTTGAGTCTTCCCCCTGTGCCTGTGTGGTAATCTATTCTTAAAAAGACGTCAATCATATTGGATTAGGACCTACCCATATGACTTCATTTTACCTTAAGCACCTTTTCTAAGGCCCTATTTCCAAATATAGTAATATTCTGAGATACTGGGAGTTATCAATGACTCCAACATATGAATTTGGGGGATTTGGGTTGGGGGACACACAATTCAGCCTATAACAGTGAATAATATGGCAGTTTAAATATCCCACTCAGATACTAAAGAGATTCTTAGATTGCTGAAATACTTTTTGGTGACTAGTCAATAAATACATGTCTGCTGCTTTTGCCTTTTCATAGATCCAAATGCTGCCTTCCCTTCTACTCATAATTTTACTCTTGCTTATTTCTGGAAGTGACTGTCTGCCCCAAAATGGTTGGTGAGGAGGGAATACTAGTGCCCCTTTCTCTTTTAGAATTCTGGGCTAAAGTTTTATCAGAAAACAAAAGAGTACTTGGAAACTTTGCTTTAAGATAATAATTATAACCCATGCTACCATTTATTGAGTGCTTATTTTGGGCCAGTCATTGTGCTGTAATTATCACAACAAATCTGCAGCATGGATGTTATTATATTTTCCCTACTTGATATATGAAGAAACTAAGGCTCAGAGAGATGAAGTAACCTTGCCCTGAATACTACTTTTGCTTTTTCTTTCTTAGGACACCTGTTTGGTTCTAAAGAACTCAGTTGTGAGATTAGAAATGTGGGAAAGAAGTGAAGGATATATCAGATTCATAGCCACTTAGCTTGTTGGTGGCAACCTGAGACTTAAGGGTCCCAGAAGGTAGGGACCAGTAACTCTAGTGACTGAATTCCACAAGGGTAGAGGGTTGAAAGTGTAGCACAATCTACCCCTTAAACTGGGTCGATTGACTCTGGGTTATTTTAGGCCAGGAGCTTTAGACTATGGCCTGGATTGAATTACAGTTGTCATGGAAACTCCAATTCAGAGGTGGACTCAAAAGAAAGCTTCAGAATAGGCAATAAGAACACTAGGAAGGTAGATGACCAAATTTGTTTTATTTGGGGATTGTAGGACAGTATTACTGAGGACAACTTGGGATGATCAGTGGTTCTGCACCCTGGCTAAGTATTGGAACAACCTAGGGAGCTTTCAAAATGCCTGGGTTTCACCCCTAGAGATCTTTATTGAGATGAGTGTGGGCCTGGACATCTGCAGTTTAAAACAGTTATCAGAGTAAGTCTGATGTACGGGATGTTAGGAATTAATGAGCAAGGCCAGGGCATGGCAAGCTGTGGTCAGCTGACCAAATCTGGCCTGCTGACTGTTTTTGTGTAGCCCATAAACTAAGAATAGATTCTGCATTTTTAAATGGTTTTTAAAAATCACAGTAATAATATTTTGTGACACATGAAAATTATATGAAATTTAAATTCCAGTGCTCACAATTCAGATTTCATTGGAACACAGCCACGCTCATTCATTTACATATTGTCTATGGTTGCTTTCACGCTATGGCCGCAGAGCTGAGTAGTTGTGATAAAGACCATATTGCCCATGAAGCCTGAACTGTTTACTATATGTCCCTTTATAGACAAACGTTTGCAGACCCCTGAGTTAGTCTAAGTAGACATCATCCACAGAGCTGGTTTGGAACTTAAAAAGGGGCATAGGTTTGTGTAACTTGCGTGTTTGTGTAGTGCATTTTGTATTTTATTTTTCTGGTTTTTTTTTTTCCCCTAGCAGTGGGAAATTGATGACTCTATAGCAAGTTTGATCAACAAAATTGTTACTAAAGATGATGGAAATATATACTTTTTTTCCCCTCAAAACACACAAGTACAAAGAACATAACATGCACAGAACAAGATGAACCAGACCTTTTTAATTCTTTACTGAGGATCTTCTAACTCCATTCTGATATCCTTTTCCTATTTCAGCCTCACCTCCTCAATCCTGTTTTTTTCTTTTTTGGTGTTTCCCCCATCCTTCTGTTCCTTGTTTGAGATTAATGGCGGCTGGTGCCTGAGAGCTTTGCTTTCCTTGATTCAGTGTAGGAAAAAAGGGAGCAGTGTTTATAGGGATGATTTTAATATAAAAATTTAGTTGAGCAAGATTAGGAAAATACCACTAATAGTCGTGTTCACTTATTTCTACCTTCTACTTTTCATACACTTGGATTCAGAAAACAAGAAAAGCATTAAGATTAGGAAAGTTAACAGTAAATGGAAAGCAACTGAGAAAGACCAATCCCTGCCATTAGGCTGTGTTTTGTATAGAGACATAGCCACTATTTGCTTCCAAACCAGCCCATCCAGTTTAAAATAAGAGGGATTATAACCTTATGCTTGGGTGCAAGCCTTGGGTTAAGCCTTTGCTTATTTTGTTTTTGCTTATGTTTTTGGTGGTGGTAATGGTTGAGGGTGAGAGGAAGTAAGAGGTTGATGTATATTTATAAGCTTTGTAAGCATATGACACCATGGGTTTTTTAAAAAAATGATGAACATGTGTCAGTTGAACTGATAGGAAAAAGTATTTGATTTCCAAATAGCTTATAGTAATCATTGGGTGATAGTTTTTGATGACATTGAGAGTCTCCTTGTGAAACTGTTTGGTATCTTGGATATTGCAAGCAAGGCCACATTCATGTTGACATGTTCTCATTTTTATCCTGTCCTTCCCCCCATCATAGCGAAGTGGCTACAATCCCAGGCATATTTCCCCTACAGCCACCTGGAAGGAAGCCAAGAATGTCATTTCAGATGGCAATGTGCCCAGACTATCTTAAAAAAGCATCATCTCTGCTACTAATTAAGTTTCAGGAAGGGTGATATTTGCTTTTATATTAACAAGCATTTTGAAAGGCTGAGGGCACATATGTTAGAAGCGATCTTATTCCTAAATTCATGCTTAAACTTAATTGCCCTTCAGCTTTCCCACTCTTGAGTTTGGAACACCGTCTGTGGATGACAAGTGGTTTGGGGAGGGAAAAAAGTAGATAATATTTGCATGTTTTGAATTTCATACTGGAACCTCAACTTATTTACCCTTTTTTTTTTTTTTTTAGGGTCCTGTACATTGGCTTGGCCTGCAATACAGCTCGCTATATCTATATTTCCTACCTGGAAAATGCCTGGACTGTTCTCCCCATGGAAGTTCTTCAAGGTAAGTTAACAGATGGAAGTAAAATTCTTTCTCTACCCACCTAAGCTATAACTGTGTAAAAGTCCAGTGTCTTTCAGCATCTGATTCAATAAAGGGTGGACCTACTGCTGTATATAATTTTGAAACGGTTGTTAAGGAAGAGATGACGTCAGCGGGGCTGGGTCCGCAGTTACCCTGAGTGCTGTTCTGCCTTGTGCCAAACAAAGCTGGATTTGACCCACACCCTTGTGATTAAACAAAGGAAGAGGAACTCTAGAATAAACTCCCAAATACAGCTGTTAGATACAGACATCCAAAAAGGTGGTTTTAAAATATAAAAGGATTTATCTTTTAAAGATCTTGTTTTTTTGTTTTTGTAGGTTGACTGTACTTACTGAAAAAAGACTTATTTTTATAACATTTGATGATTCATAACTAAAGCGTTATAGTCACACTATTATTTTCTGATAAATCTTTTAAATCTTTGCTCAAATATCCTGATATGAGGTCTTCTTTTTTCTTTAGTGTACTGTTTCCCATCAAGATATAACTCTGAAAAAATTCTGAGGAGGCTCTTGCCATGTGGCTTAATAGCACTGAAAACGTGGATTTTTATTCAAAGATTATTGCCATGTGAGCTCCTATAATCCTGACTATATGCTGAAGGGCCCTGCTAGCAGCTTGGCTAACCCATTTAGTAATTGGCATCATGATTAAAATACAGGTTCAGGACAAGATCACTGGAATTGAGGTCTTTAGTGACAGCCCATGCTACTATTAATTGCATTAAATCATTAATTGGACTAAACAGTCTGTGATTATATACAATTTCATTAGCTTTGTAGATTGCCATTATCATTTTCCCTTACCCTGAGGATGTGAACGCAGTACAATCAACATAATTAATTACTTGTCATGATGAAAGATTAAAGATTTCAATCTTTTCAGATGAAGAATTCACAATTATACCTCTAAACAGAATGTACAAAATGCAAGCTTATTCATCAAATTCCCTTGTGGCAATGAAAAAAAGACCTTACCCTAATTGAAAGGAGATATAATTTATATTCACATTATAATTATAAAATTCAAATACATACATACTTAGAAGATGCTTTTCTCAGGTCTGATGCAATGGTATAATTGGTGAAAGGACATTTTGTTTACAAATATATAGAGAATGGAATTTGGTCTTAAATTATTGTTTATAATAATTAGAATTCTGGAAGGATCTTGAGGGGAGGCACACATCTCAGCACTGTGTCACTTAAGAATAACAAAGCAATAAACATGAACTGCAGAAAAGAATCATGCAATAACAACATATGCAACATTATTCTTAAGATTTCCCACCTTTAGTTTCTGTTCTGTCCTTGCCTGGTTTAATTGCTTTATTTATTGGTTTGCCACAATGCGCTGACTCTATAGAGATCTGTATACCTACAGAAAAGAAAGTATGCATATTGTAACAATATATGTAACAATAAAGTATGCATATTGTAACAATACCTTTTTTCTCCTTCTAATATGAATTAGGTGGTACAGGACAGTTTTCATAAGTGACTCAAAAAAAGAGAGTACCCATGAAATGTATAGAGGAATAACAGAAGAATTTTATAAGAGGGGAAAATAAATGCTGTTGTGAATTTAAAAACTCTTTTTTACTGTTAATTTATCAAAGATGACTAAGAGCCAGACAGTATGTTGAGTTCAGGGAATGTATTAAAATATATATATATATATATGTGTGTGTGTGTGTGTGTGTGTATATAAAATATTAACTCATGCCCCAAGGTCTCACTGTCTTGTTCTAGAAGCCAGATGTGTAAAACACATAATTACTGCACAGTGTATTAGATGGAATCATAGGAAAATGTGCTGGGTAACAGACAAGGAGCTCTGTGGAAGAAATAATTAACTTTATGAAGTAGGGAGTGGGAGGATGAAGGCTTTATTGAAAAATTCCCAAAGGAAATCACATGAGCAGGCTTTTGAAGGGCAAGTAGGAATCCACCAGGAGGCTTAAGGAGAGCAGACATTCTGGCGTAGGGAAGAGCCATGTGCCGAGCACAGAAGTGGAAAGCAGAGTGGCACCTTCAGGGAACAATGTGGTGTGCTGTGCCTAGGGCTTGATGGATTTATCATCTCAGGCTGCTGAGCCAGGACATATTTTTATAATACCGTATGCACCTCAGGCTGTATTATCCCAGGATTTAGGGAGCTGGCCATGTTCTGAATCTAAATAAATTTAACTTCCTAGGGCACGCTACAATGTATGCTTCTGTGTTTCATTTTAGTCAACCCTGTGCCAGTAGAAACCTAGTTACTGATCTGAAGCAAGTAAGAAAACAGGATCTGCAAATAGTCTCTTTGTCCAACAGAGGGCTCTGTGACCAGTTTGCACAAAGCTCTTTGTTTTGAAAGCTGGAGGAGATAGATTCATTCCCTGGCAGAAGTGAGTGCTGAATCCTTTGACTGCACTACAAAAACAAAATCCCCTGCCTTTGTTTGATCCATGCCCACCCCACGGAAAATAGTGGATCCTCCATGTGGAATAAATCTTGTGTCACAGGAATATGCTTCTGACTGAAAAAGTTTGTTTTGCTCATCTGAATTCTTCTACCTTTACATGCCTTTGTCCAAAAGAATTTAAAGTCCCTGTGCTTAGAGGAGACTCTCCTTAGGATGCAGTAAGGCAGGAAATTATTATAACAAAACACCGAATCAGTTCATTACAGGACAGGCGCACTGTTATGATATATACTCCTTAATTCCTTGATTGGACATGCTACCTGATGATTACCAAAGACCCAGTATTAGGAAGGGTTGGGGAGTGGGATGTTGTCTCTCATGACCGATGATCTTGACACTGAGCAGTCAGCACTTCCATTCTTTGGTTTCCAACCAGCGTCACACAAGAAGGTCTTCTTAAAAGATATCAGCAGAGTCTATCTCCTCATGCTGTCACCCTTGCCTCATCCCCCAAACACTGGAGAACTAGTACTACCTCGTGGCCAGCTGAAGGAGAAGAGACAAAAGATGTGCTTTATTCCCTGTCCCCCTTCCTCTTTTGAGTGGCATGTAACTAAGGGTGGAGGATTCCTTGTTATCCTTCCTTCCCTGGAGTTTCTTGTTCATCCTCTCAGCATTCTGTCTTGTCAGGCCATGCTGGTAATAATCAGCAGATGGGTTTGGGAAGAAGCAAATTTCCTCTTCTCTAGCCCTGTAGGAAGGAGGATACATAGGCATTTATTTGTGAATTAAGGTGAGACCATGAGATGTTGTTTGGTATCGTGAGGTTGTTTCTTTCCCATGATCGTTCTCATGTTCAGTAGTCAACATTCTCTTGCAGCCTTAATCCTTTTAGCAATTCAGCTATCATTTGCAGCAAACATGTTGTTTGGTAGTCAACTGGTGGCACCACATAAAGAAGCAGAAGATGTACTTCCTGCCCATAAAGCATTTGCAATTTATTTTAAAAAGACACAGTGGGTCTTTTTAAAGCATTGCTGGATGGTGGCAGGGGGTGGGCAGGGGATTCATTTATTTTTGTTTCTCAAGATCTCATTTAAAAAACCCATAGGAGGCCGGGCGCGGTGGCTCACGCCTGTAATCCTAGCTCTCTGGGAGGCCGAGGCAGGCGGATTGCTCGAGGTCAGGAGTTCCAAACTAGCCTGAGCAAGAGCGAGACCCTGTCTCTACTATAAATAGAAAGAAATTAATTGGCCAACTAATATATATAGAAAAATTAGCTGGGCATGGTGGCGCATGCCTGTAGTCCCAGCTACTTGGGAGGCTGAGGCAGAAGGATTGCCTGAGCCCAGGAGTTTGAGGTTGCTGTGAGCTAGGCTAATGCCACGGCACTCACTCTAGCCTGGGCAACAAAGTGAGACTCTGTCTCAAAAAAAAAAAAAAAAAAAAAAACCCATAGGAATTTTCTCCTTTTCTTTTATACAAAAACCATTTATATATTCATGCTTGTGATCAAGAATATAAACATTTGATTGAAATTAAACCCTAATTTGTTATGCTCCTTCTGTGTGAGTATTGGTTGTGAATCCTTGCAAAGGATAAATGTGATCAAAATTATTCTTATTATTAAAATGTATTTGAGGACAGTAAAGCCCACTTGGGGGCTGTTGCAACTAAAGAGGTCCTTGTGAGTTATTTAGTTAATAATGGCTCTAGCACTGAGGGGTGGAAATGAGGTTTGGATCAGCTCCCTGTCTGTAGGATGCTCTATCAGCACAAGCCAGGTTAAGATTTTGATTAAAGATGGCCTTTTAATATCACCAGTTAGGAAAGCTTGAGCTGACATTTATGAAGCTTTAGTCTGTTTATCTTACTTAGCATGTCTGTTCAGCTGAGTAAGAACCGTATTTTCTTTCCTCTTATGTTCTAGAAGAGCATGGAGAAATTATAAGAGGATTACTATGCAGCTCTTATTATCTGACAGTGGAAATTCTACACATGATTCCAGTCTGTTATCATTCATATTGGAAATTTTGTCTGGCATAAGCCATAAAACACAAATAGTCTGCCATGTGAATACGTAAAATAGACAAATGTTTTAAGTTTAATATTTCAGTTGATTAATTGGCATATAAAAATCCTTGATGTTACTGTTAAAATTAATTTTTAATCAGAATAGTCTTATAAATTGTAATAGAACAACTTTATTCTTTGCCACCCCATGTTTTACAGTTACTAAGAGTTCTTCAAAATAGAAATTATTTTGTCCATTTAGGATTCATTTGAAATGTCTTCTGGCCGAAGAATCTTTTTCTGGCAGTTGCAGCCCATATTAGATCTCCCTTTGCTTACCTGTTCTCAGACTTAAGTACTGTGTTACATAGTTTAGTATTTAACTGCTCCCCAATTATTTTATAAATATTCATTTTATTTTCCAACTTAAGTTTAAACCCTTGAACACAAAGACCATGCCTTATAGTTTTTGAATTCTCCAAAGAGACATACATACAGGAAGATACACTATGAATGCTTATTTTCTTGATACATTT